CACAACGGACGCACGATGCCGCCAGACTTCCCGTAAACTTTTCACTCCCGCATCCCGGCGTGATCTAACTCGCTAGGCACAGAAGCTGCTTGACCTTTTCTCTGTTTGTTTCGTCCCTTTTTGATGAGGCGGAGGAGGAGGAGGAGAAGGAGGAGAAGGAGGAGAGCAGCAGAAGAAGAAAGAATAAAGAAGAAGAAGAAGATCTGAAGAAGAAGAAGAAATATAACAGAAGAATAGGAAAAAAAAATAACAATAAAGGTCGCGCATGCTGACGTGGGACCCGCGCGACGACAACCAACATAACGCAAAAGACGACGAGGAGGAGAGGGAGAAGAAAAAGGGGCTTCTATTTCAAGATGACGAGGCCAAGAAGAAGAAGAGGCGTAGGAGAAGAAAAAGAGGAGGAGGAGGAGAAAAAAAAGTGGAGGAGAAGGAGAAGAAGAAGAAATAGAAGATGAGGAGAAGAATCGATGGTGAGAAGAAGAAGAAGAAGAGGGGGAGGAGGAGAAGAAAAGGAGGAGGAGGAGGAGAAGAAGAAGAAGTAGTTGATGATGACGAAAGGAGGAGGAGATGAAGAAGAGGACGAAGAGGACGAGGAGGAGGAGGAGGAGAAGAAGAAGAAGAAAAACAACAGAAAAATTCCTATGAGAAATGAAAGTTGAAAAAACATTCCATAAAAAAAAAATCCTTCATATTTATAAATTATCATTCCAATGTTTGTCCAATTCTCAATTTAATTTGATGAGTTCCTGTCTAAATTTGATTTTTCCCTTCCAACTACATCTATTTGTTCAAGATGAAATGAAAGTCTAGACGAGTTTATGAAATGTTTTAATTAGACTTTCATTGTACTACAACAAATATCGTTTAATTTAGATTGGATTAACATATTTATAACTGGAGATCCTTACTTAGAATGACAGTGCAATTAAAATATTTCATGAACTAATCTAGACTTTTATTCCATCTCTACCATGTAGTTCAAATAAGAAGGGATACCCCATTCTTGGAAGGAAAGTTTTCAAGTAAGACGGAAAATTTTAAAATTGGAATGACATTTTTTAAGATGGAATGAAAATTTGGAATTTAAAATGTAATTTTACTCTAGAATGATTATTTAATTCTGGGAAATTTTTCTAATGAAGAAGAAGAAGAAGAAGAAGAAGAAGAAGAAGAAGAAGAAGAAGAAGAAGAAGAAGAAGAAGAAAACGAAGAAGAAGAAGAAAAAGAAGAGGAGGAGAAGAAGAAGTTGATGAGGAGGATGAGATGGCGAGGAGGAGGTCGAGCGGAGGGAAAGGTGAAGAAGAAGAAGAAGAAGTAGTAGAAGAAGAAGAAGAAGAAGAAGAAGAAGAAGAAGAAGAAGAAGAAGAAGAAGAAGACGAAGAAGAGAAGAAGAAGAAGAAGAAGGACAAAAAATTAAAAAAAAAGGCGCGTGCTGACGTGGCAGCCGCGCATCGATTACTCAACGACGACGACTACTACGACAGGTGAACAAGAAGAGGAGGAGGAGGAGAAGAAGAAGTGGAGGAGGAGAAGAGGAGGAGGAGAGGAGGAGAGGAGGAGGAGGAGAAGAAGAAGA